CGATGGTCCGGTGTCGCTCGGGAATGGCCGACACCCGTGTCGTCGGGAACAGCGACACCGCCATCAGCGATTTGCAACTCGTCGTCACAGACATCCACGTCGCTTGCACACCTTCCGGCATCGCTCTCCCTGCCACCTCCCCCATCAAACGAGGACACGAATACCACCAGCGCCAGCATTGACAACAGCAGTGGCAACAGCGGTAGCGGTAGTGGTGGGCATGAGGCAAACCAACTGCTGCTGTCGACGGTTGTTGGACAGGCGGAGCAGCGTCTTCCTGTTCGCTCATATTGGCAGACACACGACCACCTGTGGTCCTTCCACGACATCCGCTCTGTCGTCACGTCTGACCTTGCCATCTTTGGCGATGGCGAGAAGCCCGTGCCGGCCATCAGCCTGAAGCTGCGGGAGGACGGACAGTCAATCAACGTGCTCACTGGCATGGATCTCTGGCTGGACAACCTCATGTGCAACGTCCCAGAGATTATGATGTGCTACCACACGGTGCGTGAGTTTGTGTGTGTGTGTGTGAGAGAGAGAGAGTTTGTGTTCGCTTGTGTGTGTGTGTATTTGTGTTTGTTTGTTTGCGTGTGTGTGTATGTGTTTATGTGTTTGCTTGTTTGCTGTTTGTTGCTTGCTTGCTTGCTTGCGTGTCTGTGTTGCTAATTGTCCCACGCGCGTCCTCATCTTCCACTCTCAACACGCACGCACACGCACACACACAACCAACACATCATTCACACCCACACACAAATACACACCAACACATCATCCCTCCCATCTTCCAACTCCCAACACGGCCCACGCACAACCCGCACACACCACAACCAACTCAGATCATGCACACACACAACCAACACATCATTCACACCCACACACAAATACACAACCAACACATCACGCCCAACCACCACAACACAACACGGCCCAATTACATCCCCCCCCCCTCCACCGCCAACACAGAACGGTGCTGTGTCACGCTACGAGACGATCACAACAGAGGACCTGCCCGAGATGAGCGGGTTTGATCCAGAGGCCGTGGTGGCCATTGCGCAATCCATGAAGACCTTCCTCAACAAGAACTGCACGGAGGAAGGACACACCTACTGGCTGTACAAGGGCGAGGATGACGACATTGTGCGGCTGTACGACTTCACCGCCCTCATTGAGCAATCGCGGTCCTTGTCCACAGACCCAAACTCAAACGTGACCAACCCGTTTTCGCACTCGGTCGCGCTGCTGCTGTACAAGATTGCCATCCGCATTTTGGAGGACGACCAGCCCCAGACGGACGACGATGATGCAACGGTGTGTCGACTCCTGGCCAACGCACGTAACCTGGTGGAGGCAGAGCGGTATCCGAAGCTTGCAGCCGCCATCAACCTGCACCTGAGCCAGATGCCACCGCACGTCCTCGCCCGGCTCAACCTCGCTGATCATCGTGGCGATGGCGATGGTGGCAGTCGTGATGGTAGTGATGGTAGTGATGGTGGTGGTGATGACAGTGATGGAAGACGTGGTGCAGCCCGCACGTCGCATTCGCCTAGCGCACACAAGCAGCAGCAGGGGCGTAGTCGTGCTGGTGCGAGTGCTTCGTCATCATCAACAGCAACACCACCAACATCATCATCATCACCGCCACCGCGTCGGCCACCCGACACGGGCGCCATCCCCATGCCGTCTGATGCGTACCATGCACAGCTCGCTGCCTTGGACCTGTTGGAGCCAGCGGTGGAGTGGATTGCAGACAACCCGCAGGACGGCCACAGCCGGCAGCTGCTGGAGCTGGTGCTCACGCGCGCCGCACACCATTACGCAACGCTGGCCAAGCTTGCGTTGCAGCGCGGGAAGTTTGGATCCACCGTCCGCTTTTGTGACCTGTGCCTGCGGTGCCGCACGGGCGCGCGCCGAGCAAGCACGTGGTATGACGGTGGTGACGGCGGAGGTCAAGGTGCTGATGGGGATGGTGATGACAACGGAAGAGCTGGAGGCGATGGCAGTAGTGGTGGTAAGCTGGAAGGTGGTGAGGGGGGAGTGCAGCGAGCAATGATAGCAGAGTCAATGGCGCGGGTGATGAACAGCTGGAGAGCAAGCGCAGCGGCGATGCATCAAGGGCTGGTCGACAACACGTGGACGGCCACCAATCGCGCACAACCACCACCACCACAACAACAACGACAACGACAACGACAACGACAGCACATTCGACACAATCGCCATCGCGATCGCGATCACCACCAACGCCGCCACCAGCAGCGGGCCCCATCATTGCCGTCAAGGCGGCAGAGCAGCTGCAGACACACGTGAAGCAAGAAGACGACCTGCTTGGTAAAGTGTTGCCGCTGGCCGCACACGCGCTCCTGGCGCTTGCGGCGCTGCACCACGACGCACCCCAGCACCTTCCCCAGCAGATGGCAGAGGCAACATACCGCACACGGCAGGATGCGGCTCTGGCGCGGTGGGACACCACCGCCACATCCTCCACTACCTCTTCCTCCACTACCTCTTCCTCTACTACCACCACCTCCTCCTCTACTACCACCACCTCCTCCTCCACCACCTCATCATCATCTTCTTCTTCTTCTTCTTCTTCTTCTTCTTCTTCTTCTTCTTCTTCTTCTTCTTCTTCTTCTTCTTCTTCTTCTTCTTCTTCTTCTCTCTTCTCTTCTTCTTCTCTCTCTCTCTTCTCCGCAGGGAAAAGGGGGCGGGTGTGGGCATGTGGTGCCGACGAAGGAGGTGTGGCTGCTTGATTGGACGCGCGCGTGTGATGGTGACAGCTCCAGGGGCACCACCAGCAATGACAACAGCCGCTGCAGCAGCGCACCGCCGCCACCGTCAACATCGGCAACACCTCCGCCAACAGCACAAACTGACAATAATGACGACGATGACAACGATGACGGTGATGATGGCGATATGGTGATGAAGGCGAGCGGTTCGAGCGAGGACAAGGTCGGCCGGAATGGCAGTGGTGTAGGCAACAGTGCTGGTGGTGATGGCGACACGCGTGATTGGGGCCAGCAATTTGGTTCGATTCCAAGCACTTTTGGGGGATCGCTGCTCCAGCGCCAGGCCGTTGTGTCGTTTCCTCTTCCCAGCGACAGAGCGGCACTGGCAAAGGCAGCACTCGCTCTCTACGACTTTATCCACAACGTGCGGTGGCTGTGCATGCGCGTGTGTGTGCGTGGGGGGATGGGGGAGTGCGCGCGTTTGTGGTTGCTTGGTTGTGTCTGTCTGTGTGTGTGTGTGTGTGCGTGGGGGGGGGGGATGCGCGCGCGTTTGTGGTTGCTTGGTTGTGTCTGTCTCTGTGTATGTGTGCGTGTGTGTGTGTATGTGTGTGTGTGTTTGATTGCTCGTCTTATTTGCCTCTTGGTTTGTTCTTGCCTTGTCTCTGGCACATCTGTTCCCCTTATCGCTCACGCACACACAAAACCATACACACACTCGCAGGCCTCTCTGATGGAGGAGCAGACGCTGGTGCGGCAGACAGGCAACGCGCACAACGAGATGGCCAAAGTGCTGATGGACCAGCTGTCGGAGATGCCGGCACTCACTGCCTGGTCTGCCGCGCAATTTGAAGAGCAGAAGCAAATGGCGTGTGCGCATTTCTTCCGCGCGCTGGCGGCGTTTCGCAACCTGCGGGACCGCGTGAACCAGGCCGTCATCAACTGCAACCTGGCCAAGCTCATGCGCATCAGTTACGCGCGCAACCAACTCCACATGAATGCGCAGGAAGCACAGCGTGCGCGGCGTCGTGGCGGCTGGTGGTGGCGATGGTGGTGGCAGTGGCGCAGTGCACGATGCAAGCAAGGA